CGGGAGCGGGTCCGGTGTCGCTCGCAGCAGCAGCATGAGGACTCTGAGCTACGCCTGAAACGCAGCCTGCGCCTGGGTGCTCCCTGTTCTTGTGGTCCTCGCAGGCTTTCCAGAGTCTTGCAGGCTTTGGTTCGCGTTCTCTGGACAGCTAGAGAGCATTGCTACTGCGTGGAGTGCCTGGCAGAGCGAAACTGCGGTGTGGAGCCCTGCTAGCAGTAGACTGATAGATAAGAGTTGCCCCTCTTGAGATTTCTTTTTCCTTCCTCGTCTCTTGTGTCTACTTACAAGATTTCTCCATGCCCAAAGAAAATATTTAAACCCTCCTGACACTTGGATGACACACAAAAGTTATTATCTAGGTTTTGACCTAACTCTTGGTGATAAGCCTGTGTTGTTCGCTTAGTGTTTCTTCACAGCAGATGTAACAGGATCAGATTAAAGGGGGGGTGTGTGTGTTGAGAAACCTGATAGCTCTCTGAAAGAAGTAATAAAACTGTAGATAAAGGAGATACGATGAGCAAAGCTTACACAGTTTTCCAAAAGCCTTTGGCAAGTGTGTCTGTACTACAAAGTCAAGAACAGTTTTATCTTCTTAAATGAAAAATAACTAAAATGCTTCCATAAAGGGCTTATATCTGTGCTGACTCTGTACCCTAAAAAATTATGGATACTTCTAAGTGTTTACCTCCTTCTCAGATTTGCTCTTGATGACACTGAGAAGCAACTTATAAAGGGTTAAAATAAAGTTTTCTTCTTCCCAGTTCTGTAGTAAAGTGTTTACATTTACTCACTTTAGAAAGTACCTTACCTTTTCCATATTTGTGTCAGTACATAACTTTTGTTGTCACCTGTTTTGTTTGTTTGTTTGCTGTACTGCCTTCCTCTCCTAAGTTACTCTTTGCCAGGGTTGTTGTCAGAAGTGTGCTCAATAGCAGAGTGAGCATCTTCCAGGCTCAGCTTTGGTGATTTTTCAGCTGTTTTTGTTGCGTGTCGTGTTAGTAGGAATGTGAAAGCGATGGTATTTTTGTGTTTTTCTGCAGCATCCAGCGAAGAAAACATCTGGGAGTCACTGTGGATGATGTTCTGAAAAGTCAGTTCAAGGTGTAGCGGAAGTCAAAAAGCAAATAGAATGGTAGAAATTATCAGGTAAGGAATAAAGTGTAGAATAAAAGACTGTATCATGGCACTACATAAATTCTTTCTTCGTCCAAGCTGGAGTACTCTGCAGTTCCAGACTCTCCTTTGGGTGATAGGCTGTACTCTGTTTAGGGTGACGGGGAAGGTGGACGAAGAGCAAGGGAGATGATTGTATACATGAAATAGCCCTGATAGAAGGAGAGGAAGAGCATCCTGCGCTGATTCATTAGTGGCAGTGTAAGGAGTTGCTGTGCTTCTCTCTCGCTGGTGCCAGCACTCACGCGATTGTGTAGACAGGTGGGTCAGTTGGGTTCTGACTAAAATTATTGCCCTGATCAAGGTGTTTTCCAGAGCGGGGTGGGAACTTCAGCTTTGAGCAGGAGGGGTGGCAAAACTGGTGCACTTTTGGTGCTAGAATTGTTTAGGGATGACTTGAGCATCACAGCAGAGGGAGCATGAGCGGTGTGGAGAAAGTGTGAATGGCCACAGAAAGCTGCAGACTAGGAGAGTATTCAGGTAGCTTTAATTGCTTTCTTGTCCTGCCCATGTACTTTATCTGGGCATCTGACAGACTGCTGTTCTACTGATATGTTCTATTATATTTCTTATTTTCCCCATTAGGATTTCTGTGTCAGCTTATCTTTTATAGAAACTGAACGCCATCTCGTTCCTCCCCAACCCCAGAAGAAGAGGGAAATGCATTCTGAGGGCAGAGAATAAAAAAGGAAAGGTAGGTAAAGGCAGATGGCTTTAAAATAAGGAACTGGAGGGAATGCTGAGCTGAGCACCCACAGTTCCCTGAGGCTGAGGTGATGAGGAATGCTGTTTTGAGCGGTGCTGCTCTTGGAGAAATGATAGGACAGGGGCTTAGAAATAAATCCTACAGCTGCTGAATATTCCCTACTTTTCCTTAGGATGTTGCGGCTGGCTGGCTTAACCATTGTCAGAAGGCAGTTGTTGAAGAGGTTCCACAATGGGGCTTTGGATGTGGAGGGTATGAATAAAAAAAAAAAAAAAAAGTAGGGTAAAGTTTCTGTAAGAGGTTCTGGAAGAAAGGCTGGCACCCAGGGTACTAAAGGTAGAAGTCAGTCTTTCTCATGAAATATTAAACTGGAATGCTGTGTTCAGTCTGCATTTTTCAGACTTCTTTTCATTCTATCCTTGCATTTCCCTGGCTACAGTTTCTCCTGGATACGAACATGTGTCCAGATACTTGATTTGCATCTTATCACTTAGTGGCACTGTTGTCACTCTAACCATAGCTATTGCAAAATTTTTATTCAGTCTCTATTGCTTTTCCTGGTCCTTCATTTGATGGCTG